AGAAGAAGAAGAAGACGAAGAAGAAGAAGAAGACGAAGAAGAAGAAGAAGAAAAAGACGAAGAAGAAGACGAAGAAGAAAAAGAAGAAGAAGAAGGCACGTCGATCATCGGAATCATGGTTTGATTTGTCAGAGCTTTCGAACTCTTACTGGAGCCCATCCCCAGAGATAAAAGCGTCAACGACAAAACAAGCAACAGTTATAGGGAGCAGGGGCTAACCAAACACCAGTGATATCAGCCGATGCATGCCGGCGCCAGATCGATAAATCGATTGACTCAGTTCTCATCTGAGGCCCAGTAAGAGTTCGAAAGCTCAGACGAAGAAAACCATGATTCCGGTTATCGACGTGCCTTCTTCCTCCTTACCTATAAGCACACCTGGGATGCGAACGCTCGTCTCAATTCTTGAAAATGCTGTTTACTTCTCCGAAGTTCGTCCTCGAATTACTGATATGCAAAATTCGTCGTTGTAGTTCAATAAAAGTTATTGCTTGTTGTGTTCCGAAATGTGTCACTGCCCATTGTGTTAGTTGTGTGAAAATCACTGAAAACTTGCCTGTATTTGGCCAAGCATTTGGGTTTCCTGTACTCCATACTGTATTTTTTCCTTTTTGTGGCCTTATTTCTTCAAGCGACCCCTATCCTGAAAGCCTTCAAGTCTAAACCACCCAAAGTTCTTGCTTTGAACACCTTCTGACTTATGCTTGGTTATCCTAATTTCAGATAGAGCGGCTAGAAATCGAGAAAATCGCCGCATCCAGATCTTTCATCTGGATATGGTGTGGCAGTGGAGAGGGTCTCGAAGGCGCACGTAAGGTACGTCACTCGTTTCGCGCATCCCATTTTCGTATTAATTGAAATGCTACTTATACGAATCAGGTAGTATTATTTTTTTCAACCATTCTAGTGTTTCCGGAAGTGGGGATTTCGGCGATGTGAAGACATCTGCTGGATCAAGTCTAATAAAAACAATCCGGGACACGAACAGATGGAACCGGGCGCCGTGTTTCAACGCACCAAGGAGCACTGTCTCATGGGCATCCATGGCACTGTGCGCCGTTCCACAGATGGCGACTTTATTCACGCCAACCTAGACATCGATCTCATTATCAGCGAAGCCAAACCACCGGGTAGCTACGCCGCCAGGGACAAACCCACCGAAATCTTCCACATCATCGAGCATTTTTGTCAGGGTCGGCGTCGTCTGCACCTCTTTGGACGAGACAGCACCTTACGCGCTGCAAGTTTTTGTTCGTTTGTGTATGCAGTTGATGTGTCTCCCTTTTTGTCTTTGCATGGCAAAAAAAGCGTTGCCGATCCAGGTATTTTCTGACAGTAGTTAGTACTTGGGAGGGTTTATGTGCTCCGACAGGCCTCTGGTCTTGATTGTGCGTGTCGATGGTGCCGAAAAGTGTTGATTTTTATGCTTTCTGTCCTTGGGAGTGCTGTTGTAGCATGATGGACTTATCGCAAATCTGGTCCTTTCCCTTGCATTATGACTGCCAGGGGCAGGCGTTATTAGGGTTGCGCGCCGATAAAAAAAATGCTTAACATGAGAAGAGGGGAACGAATTCGCACGCGTAAGAGTAGCACCGGCCGCGCCAGCCACCTGCGCCCGATCCTGCCTCCAGTCTTATTGACTGTTTCTTTACATCGGGCTCAGGTGTGTGA